CCAATTGTTTTCATATATATATATATATATATATATATATATATATATATATATTTGTCGTATTTTCGAGGGCGATGATTATCAAAACATGAAGACATTTTTTGTCGGGTTGTAAGGGGCCTAAAACGGTTCACCTTCCCAACACTTAAAGACCGTGCCGAATAGACATTTCGAATGCTGTATTGCAAAACGGCCAGCATTCATTTCCAGCCTCGTTACAAAACAAAACAGATGAATGTGAGGTAAAGACCAGTCAAAAGGCTCATCTGTTCACTCTTGAATTTTGTTAATACCGTTCGATTTGTTTGAAAACGGATAAAGTACGGCGAAGCGTTTGTCCAACCTCGATCTTCAGTGCTTTTGCTGATGTCACGAGATCATTGTGAAATGTATTTTTTGTAAGGCTCTCTGGAGGCTAGGGCTCATATTTGTGAACTCATCAACAGTTGTCCGTAGAGAGTGGGTTTACTGAAGAATACACTCAGCACTGAGAATAACACATTCTGCGTAAATCCACGGAAGCGGCTTGAATTGAGAATTTGAGAACTCATTTTGGCATGAGACCATTTCTTTACGTCACTCACTCGTAAACTTACAACACGGAAGTCTGGAATGCACAAATTGGGATTGAATTCCATGAAGAGTGGAATTGCAATTAATGCTTTCTTGAGTCAGCATTATTCTTTGGCTTGTTCAATACCATTTGGACATCATTTTTGGGTATGTGGTCTGCAAAACGCGGGCCAGTGTCTTACAACGTGCGTTCATGGTACTCCAATACAATGCAAGCCGTTCCTTACTTGCACAAATCTCCCCCGATCAGAGGAATGGGATGAGCCTTTCCTGAACGCGGCCACTCAGTCAAGAGAATTCTGGTACGCAAAAGGTCAGTCAGTCATGGTCCCGATGATGTCTGGAATACACTCGCTGCCGTTTGTGAGATTTTCAGACAAGGGATTCTCATTGCTTGAAAAGCCACTCAAGGTAAGTTGATCCCTGATCAAAAGAATGTACTTTTGAAACATGAAACGTATGTCAAACACTTGGATTTATCTTGTATTTCCACATTTCGATCACTGGCATTCCTTTCGTTAACTTTTTTCCCCTCAGAATCATCCTCTGCGATATCCATTGATTGATCCATTGTTAAACCATTGCCCTAACAAAACTTTTGTACCATGCGGATCCACAGACAGCCCATTCAACATCCACCAGGAGGCGGCTTGTTCTAATCTGTCGCATAAAATAGCCTGGATTTTGACACGTTTCTTGCTTGTCTCCTCAAAAGATGATTTGGTTTCCCCGAAAGAGATTCACTCTATTATCGCGTCTGATGAACACTCCTGGGCATTTATTTCAGTCTAATGCGAATTCAAGATGCTGCGTGCTTTCGGGGTAGCAACTGTGCGAACCGGGAGCACCATATCTACAACTGAATTGAAAGGTTGTGTGATTTCCCGGTCACAATAAACTTGCTACGGATGAGTCCAAAAACGCATACTGTGTAATATCAAAACCACGTGGGCAGCCAAACTTGTGCTCATCAAATTCAAAAGCAAGTCACGTGCACACTTTGAACTATATGCATCTGTAATTCTCACCTGCATATCGGGAAGATGCATGATTCACACTTTGGCCTATCACCGTCATTTTGACCAGACATCCGCAAGTGACGCTCTTTTTCATACCCGCGCTGTTTCTGCTGAGTTGGCTAGATAGTAGAGAGGGAGAGACGCATCGATCAATAGCTCAGTAGTTTTATTATCCCATTTTGGTCTCTGTAGTCAAGTATGCAATGTCTACTGAGGAAGAAAGTAGAAGAAAGTAGTAGAAGAAAAACAGTGGGTCATCAGATAATAACTTGATATTTCCCACCCCCCCCCCNCCCCCCCCCACCCCCACTGAGCCTGTGGACCTAGTGATTGAGATCGTGTCAGACACCTCGAAACGAATCGAAAAGTTTATTCGTGAGAATATACAGAATAGCGGTTTATCAAAGCTAGTGAGTAATTTGCCTCTCCATCGGTCTCTAATGCATGCGAAGTTTTCCTTATTTGCGTGAATCACGTGATGACCTCTTCTTATATTTCTTGTTTTGTTGAATACACTTACAAAAATACTCTCCCCTCAGTTATAGTGATTCAGGCATATTTGCCGGCCGAGTAATGCCCACAATCAACCTTATGGTAATATATCATGACATTTGATTTTATTTACCTCAACACCTTCAACACCTTTTGACATCGATTACCGATCGAGGATGCTGAATACACTGGTGAGCTCTAAATAAGCTTCTGAAGTCCTAGTCACCGTGAACTGGTTTCCGTAATATTGTGCTATAATTCACAGGGTTCCCACGTTCCGATTATATGATGGATAGCTAGCATTGTTGTGAACATAAGGTGAATTCATTCGGACAGTTCGAACATTAAAAGACACGCACGTCTGGTCTCCGTATTGAATATCATGGTTACCTGTCAAAAGGAACGATTGGAATAGTTTGAATCCCCCCGAAAATATGATATGAATCCTCGGACGAATGGTTTAATTGAGGGATCTGGGTTCGTGAGGATCAAAACAAATAAATTTCTAAAAAAAGAAAATTAAAGACAAGTTGCAGTCATGAATTTACATTCTCGTACCTCATCTTCACAGCTCAATAATGTGTTGTTAGTTAAGGGAGATGAATGTTTTCCTCTATAACTCACAGTCTGGCACAAACTTTGGGGGAGGATGATGTTATATAAATGATTCTGAAAATTAACACCCCATGCCATGGGACCGCTTACTTCAGCGAGTCTTTGGCCGGTTTGAA